AAAATCTTTATGCACTTCTTTATATTCAAGATAATACAAACTTTGTTCATTTCTACTTCAAAAAATCTGTAGAGATTTTGTAATGGCTGTAGCAATAAATTTAGAAAACAATTTTTGTTGGGACCAGCAGTTAGTGTAATGGCTATGTCACTGGACTCCCACGTAGTCGACCGCGGTTCGCGTCCCAGACCCAGTGGCTTAAACTTATGCCGGGCGCATGTGCGTGCGTGCCCAAGATCCTGAGAGGAGAATGGAGGAGAAGGGATTGCGGTGTGGCCATCCCCTCTGGGGGTGATTTCTCGCTTTCTGTCTCTCTGTTTGTCTCTTGTCTGTCTGGAGAGCACACGCGCCCTATAGCAAAAACTTCTCCAAAAAAAAAGAAAACAATTTTTGTTATGTAATATTTTCATGAATAAAAATATGGCACTCCTGAGATATTCCAAAAGGAACCTGGTTAGTCTGGTGTCTCCAGCTCAGAGTCACTTTCTCAGTGATGGACATGATCAGGTAGGTCAGTTCTTAGACTGGATGAGAGTGGGAGTCTGCTGTCTTTGTGCTCAGGGTGGATGAATGGGTGGCATATATCTTGGCTGATATCCTGGATTCAAACAACCATGAGAAACTTCTCTTTCTTCTTTCACACAACCTGCATTTTTACCACCTTTCTCACTAGGTCTCTCAGGCAGTGGTTTCCAAATCTGGTAAAATTAAAGGAATCTTCTGGGTAGCTTTAAAAACTTTGAATTCCCTGACTCTAGCCACAGAGACTGAATCAGTAGATAAAGGAGATGAGACCTTGGCCATGGAGGCTTCTCTCCTCCCCTTAACACAGTTCATCAACCACTGCACACTGACCTCCCTGTGATACACTGCGCATGGAGCAGCAGGTAAACCAGCAGCAGGATAGTGTAGACAGACTGAGGGAAGAAAGACCACACAGAGGACACAGCCAGAGCCAGAGGTTGAACTAGAATCTTAATAACAGCCAGTGCTGAGCAGGGGACAGATGTATTGATTCTACTCATCCTCTTCTGGTTACACTGCTATTATTCCACAGACTGCAAAGCCAATTTCTACCTTAAAATACTCTGCTTTTTCCTTACAACTGTCAAGTAACTGTGTGTGCGTGTGTGTTTGGGGAGAGGGACTGTTGCCTTGCTTTCTTATTTTCTTGGTATAGCCAGTTAAATAAAAAATGAGAGAGAAAACTATAGACAGTGCTCAAGAAGGGACACTTCTGGCAAAGTCTAAGGAGACAAAAGGAAAAACAAAAGGAGGAATCAAGAGAAGAAAAACCTTGGGGAATACACGTGAAGCAGCGAAGACTAGTTCTCTTTGATCTTCTGAAGCTGCCCTGACTAAACATATTTGTATCTCAATTTCCCAAGGGAATGGCTTGCTTTATAAAGACTGATACCATCATCATTGAAGGTGATCTTTCATTAAATGGCTACCCTACTTAGAGAAACCTCTGTTGTTCCCTGTAAATTAAGCCAGAAAAATCCTAAACAGTTGTCATTTATTTAACAATTATTAATTGGTGAGGATAGAGCTTACAGCTCGATGGTAATAGAGGTAAATAAGCAAACAGTCAGTGCCAGTACTGGGCAGCAGTGCCGAGGTGACAGGGTCAGGAGGGGAGTGCAGGAGAGCGTCACCCTCCTGAGAGTGAGAAAGGTTTCAAGAGCAGGTGCACTCTCAAAGTGGCATCCCAAAGGAGGGTACAAAGGCGCTCACTAGGAGGGGACAAGAGAACTTGGAGATAAGAATACATGTCTGGAGAACTGAGAGTAACCATGAATAGCTAGATTGAAGGCAAGAGAAGCGGCTGGTGAGTTGAGCTCAGCTCATAAGGGATCTTAAAGAGGTTTGAAATTTACCATATGGTGGCCCATTTCATGTATGTTTTTTGCATTTAGCTTTCTATGTCTTTTCTGGCAGACATCATAAATAAATAGGAACTTGTAAAAGTAAGCATGTGAGTCAAGAGGAGATAGTGTAGCAGGTGGCTATCCTTAGAAGAGTTTGCTTGCAGGAGTATGCATGTGTGTGCCCAAAATTCCAAGAGGAGAATGGAGGAGAAGGTATTGTGGCATGACCATCTTACCGAGAAGTGACTTCTCACTTTCTTTCTGTTTCTCTGGTGAGTGCACATGCCCTATAAGAAAAAAAAAAATCTCTCTTTGAGAAAGGCTTGCTCGAAAGGTTGGTCTGTGGCTGGCTTTGGGGCACTTGGCCGGTAAACAGTTCCATACATTGATACAAAACTTGTCCTAACCGATAAGGATAGTTTGCAGATAATATGGCTTATGCCAAAAACCTGTTTTCTTTGTAGTACTTAGATACACTCTGGCAGAAGATTTCTGTGTGACTAGCTCCCACTAAAAACCATGGTTTCTGAGTCTCTAAAGAATTTTCCTAGGTCCAAACATCACACGGTGTTGCTGCATTTATACCTGGGGAAGAATGTGTTCTCTGTGACCCTTCATGAGCGGGGGAGAATATTAGAAATCCTCCAGATTCTACTCTCTTTTCTCCTTATAAAAAATATCCATTCCTCAACACTCTGATAAATCTTAGCCATGAGTAGTTATACGATAAGACCCATCTGCTCTTCCAGTGACTCTCTTAACATAGGTGAACTCCTGAGGGTCCCCAACGTGCATGCTATGAATATTTACTTATAAATATTTATTTATTAGTGAATACATTGAAAAAAGGTAGAAATCTTCTCTTTCTCTTTCTCTCTCTCTCTCTCTCACACACACACACACACACACACACACACACAGATTCTTCAAAAATTTCATGGAAAATGCATATTATGAAAAGCCTGTACATGGTTTTCAAAATAGTTTTGTACCAAAATAAGCTCAGACTTTAATTCCATTTTCCCACAAACTTTTTGAAGTTTCGATTATATATATCACCTAAGAGAGAGAAAGAGAGAGAGAGAAGGAAAGGGAGAAAGCAAGCCACTAGGTTTGGTACTTGAACTGTGGTCAAGTTATGTGGGAGTCCAGCACCTTAAGCACCATGCCGCCTACTTGTCCCATATTTAGTTTTTAGCCAGAACTTGTTGAAACAGTTTGAACTCGCACCATTTCTCAGAATCTCAAACTTATCTCTGAATTACTTTTGACTTTTATCTTCAAATGAAAAAGATGTATCAGTACTGAGCTACTAGCTCTAAGGGCAAATCAGGAGATCCAAAAAGGATTTAAACAATAGCAGAAGTTCTCAGAATGTTGGTAACTGTTTTAATAGGTGAAGACATGTTTAATTTTGCAGCTTTAGGCATCCTGAAAGCAGCCACATTCTTGTAGTGCAATACTGTATTGCAGACTGCTTCTCCTGTTACTTTAAAGATGCATTAGTATTGGGACCAGCAGTTAGCGCAATGGCTATGTTGCTGGACTCCCATGTAGTGGACCGTGCTTCAAGTTCCAGACCCAGTGGCTTAAACTCACGCATGTGCGTGTGCGCCCAAGATCCCGAGAGGGGAATGGAGGAGAAGGAATTGGAGCGTGGCCATCTCCCCTGGGGGGTGATTTCTCGCTTTCTGTCTCTCTGTTTCTCTCTCTCTTTCTGGCAAGTGCATGTGCCCTGTAGAAAAAAACCTCTCCAAAAAAAATAATAATAAATGCATTAGTATTTATAGAATAATAACCACGGACTAGATACTTTTTTTTTGGAGAGATTTTCACTGTAGGGCGCGTGCGCTTGCCAGACAGAGAGAGACATAGAGACAGAAAGCGAGAAATCACCCCCCAGGGGGGATGGTGACGCCGCAATCCCTTCTCCTCCATTCTCCTCTCGGGATCTTGGGCACGCACGCACATGCGCCCGGCGTGAGTTTTAAGCCACCGGGTCCGGGACATGAACCGCGGTCGACTACGTGGGAGTCCAGCGACATAGCCATTACGCTAACTGCTGGTTCCCGATACTTTTATGTAATTTGTATGGAGAAGATGACCTCTGACTTCATCTTTATTTTTGAGAATTTAGTAGTAGTCTGTCCTTTTTTACTGACTGGCAGTGGCATAATCCCCTTTGTTGGGCCTGATGTTTCCTTTCCCTCGTCTTTGTCTCACTCTGGACTGAGGTAGAATTGTAAAAGAGAGAGATCTGAGCTCACTGCTCTCCATTTGACCCTGTAGACCTCTGGGAGCCTTTCCTGTGACCCAGTAGTAAAAAGCATCACTTCTTAAGCATGGCTGGACTTGTTCCTGATCTTCGTTTCTTGTCTAATTGGAGAGGACTTACAGTTCATAAATGACCTTAATATGGAAGGCCCTGGAGTTGTTAGTGTACTGTGACACAGTGGTTTTCCAACCACACGCAATTTTTTTTTTCTTTTTTTTGGAGAGGTTTTTGCTATAGGGCGCGTGCACTCACCAAGCAGACAGAGAGAGACAGAGAGACAAAGTGAGAAATCACCCCCCAGGAGGGATGGCCACGTTGCAATCCCTTCTCCTCCATTCTCCTCTTGGGATCTTGGGCACGCACGCACACATGCTTGGAGTGAGTTTAAGCCACTAGGTCTGGGACTCGAACTGCAGCGACTACGTGGGAGTTCAGGGACATAGCCATTACGCTAACTGCTGGTCCCCCAACCACACACAATTTTATAGGGCTAGTTCTCTTCATCGTCTGTGTACATCATTTCTGCTGCTGTTTTACTACCACCTTCCCATCCTTTATTTTTCTCTTTTCCTCCTTAATTTACCATAGCCTCAGACGCCTCCCCTCAGCTGGTCATAAATATTTATTTTCATACTTACTGCCCTTCTGGAATGACATATAATGCTTCTTTTTCATAATTTTAAAAGCAAATGAAAAAGTTTAATTATATTTGTCTGCTTGGAGAAACTCAGTGAAAATGCTTTGATTCATGTGAACCTAGGTTCTGTCTTCATCTGGTGGTCCGATGTTTACTTCTCAGGAAGACACTGTGGTTGTGTCCTCCACATTGTGTCCTTTGTTGTTTTCTATTCCAGATTTCCGGAGAGATGGTCATTTAGAGCCTACACATCTGTTCTGTATTTTGACCCTTGGATGAGAATATTCATTCAAGCCAAAAGAGTTAAAACAAAACACCTGTGTTACAGCCTTTACAGCCCCAGGTAACTTGCCTTCCTTTATCATGATCGATTTTATTTTTAGAACTGATATGCTTCCCAAAATTGTCAAAGTGAGAACATTGACTTTGATAGTGAGATTTTTACATTGTAATGAATATTCGAACTGCCTTTAGGAAGGTTTGCTGATGTGTAATCATGTGCCACAAATATTTGGCAGTAATAGCAGTACGCTGCAGTGAACATGCTAAGTTAGTGATCAGCCCAAGTAAGAATTCATTTTTCACTTACATGACTCTCAGGTGCTTTGCTTATGGTTAGTGCTATTAAAAAAATCACAGTTCACTTACATTTTCTGTTTACACAATATTTAACTATTAAGCCATATACATACATGTTTATATTATATGCATAGAATGAATGTATTTATAAATACACATCTGGTTCATTTACATTTTGTTTACCTTTTTTATTTTAATGCAAACTTTTTAATGCTTATATTGCAGATTATAAAACGTGTCTTGCCCAAATGTGCTTACAATCAGAACAGTCATTTTTTGGGTATAGTTTCTGGGTGGTCATTGATTTATATAATAAACATTTATTGAAATATGAGTCTGAGATTGTGATAGGTACAATGTTTAAGAAAAATAAAATTCTAGTTGTGAAAAACTTATTATCTATTGGGAGAAACATTTAATGCATGTACACAGTATATATGTGTGTGTGTGTGTGTATATATATATATATATATATATATCCCTTTACTAGTATTTTTTTCCATTTGATTTCTGCAGTGACTCTGTGGGTTAAATTTTATCATCATTTTAGAGATAATTGTCAAGACAGACAAGAACTCAAATCTGGCTCTAAATTCTTTATCAATACAAATTGCATTCCCCTTCCCCTATACCACATTAACTCTTTATAATAGAACTACATTTGTCATGTTGTCTTATTTTTATGAGATGGGGCTTGGGACCTTGCAATCACTCATCTAGATATTAATATTAAAAATTACAGACCTCTGAATCATATGCCCTGACTACATACCAATGGATTCCTCAAAGCTTTACTTTTTATTTCTGATTATACTGCAGATAATCTTTTGAAAATGAAGTATACCAAGCCTCATACTCTTCTATAAATCAGTCTGTGTATTTCCTAACAAATATCAAAGCAACGTTTTCTTTTTATCAGTCTCATTCTTTTGAGATACCAGGAGTCTCTTGGATCAATAAATATAGTTGATCTTTTCAAATTAAATTGTTCTTCTCTTAGTGACTTAGGGTAAAACCTAGTTTATACCAATAAAAAATATGGATTTGTCTCTGTTTTCTGAGGGAAATTTAGTAAACTGAATTTTATCTATCTAAATTACTTATATCAAGTGATGACTATTTCCCATTTTAGTACATTTTTTATTCACTTTTATGCACCTACTAGGAAGTAGGTATTAAGTATGTGTACAATGAAGTAGGTGTGTGTGTGTGTGTGTGTGTGTGTGTGTGTACATGTATATGGCCATTGGAAAGTCATGACACAATTATTTTATAGAAAAATTAAGAAAAATACATTATGACATACATACATTTATGTATATTTTTACATTTTTATACATGTATGTGTGTATATAGATTTGTGTTTTTATATATGTTTATGTGTATATATATGTGTGTGTACATATATATACACACACACACATATATATATATATATACATATATATATATATATGTATTTGTTGTTCAGTGAATGAAATAAATTTATTTTTTTGGAGAGGTTTTTGCTGTAGGGCGCGTGCGCTCGCCAGATAGACAGAGAGAGACAGAGAGACAGAAAGCAAGAAATCACCCCCCAGGGGGGATGGCCACGCCACGATCCCTTCTCCTCCATTCTCCTCTCGGGATCTTAGGCACGCACGCACATGCACCCGGCGTGAGTTTAAGCCACCAGGTCTGGGACGCGAACTGTAGTCCACTACGTTGGAGTCCAGTGACATAGCCATTATGCTAACTGCTGGTCCCAATGAAATAAATTTAAGGAGGCTGAACCTTTGTCAAGTTTCATACACAGCTCTGACAAATGGTTAGTTCTGATACTTGATATCTAGAGTATGGAAAGGCTTATTCCTTCGTGACTTTATGTCTTGTGTCCTGCCTCTTTCCATTTACCGTATTTACTTGCATATAATTTCTCTTATAGGCTCCCTGGTGGTGCACTCTCACATAAGAAAAATGTGGAATTTCCTCCATGTTATCTCATTCCATTGAAGTAACTCCTACTTTTTTGTTTTCTTTTCTAAAAGGCACTATGGCTCTAATGGTTGTGTCAGAAAAAATTAAGAGCTAGGATGACCCTATTTGACCTAAGTAAAGGGTTTTAGAAAGTGATTAAATGGTCTTTCCTCTTGGCCACCCTGACGCCATAAATTTCTGGAAATGAAATGGAAAACCAAGGTACCCCTAAAATAAATCTGTAAGTCATAAGTGCTGTTCTTAAAAACTAAATGACTACACTTCATGATCAGTTATTTTTCTCTACTTTTGTGACAAACATGAAAATGACTGGATCCATGTAAGTGCCTTTATAATTGTTCTAGCTGTTTTACCCCAGTGTGTCTAGCAAGTTTGGGGGAAGACTAGAGGGGTATTTTTGGTGTCATGTCATTGGTTTCCTTCTTTGATCACATTCTATTCAGTATTTTTTCAGTAACTTGAATAAAACAACAGACATGTATACTTTTTGAATTTATAGTTGACTTTGAACTGGGAAAAATATCTTATATCAGGCATAACAAAAATAACATATGAAAGAGTTGAAGTCTGGTAGAGAAATGTGATATAGATAATGTACAGATCTCATTTAGAGAAAAAAAAATTGTGTAAATATAGACTTGACAGTGACTTACATGAAAAAAAAAATGCGTAGATTCTTTACTTGATCCCACGGTTATCATAAACCAGTTGTGTGACAGGATTGCTAAAAATGGTCATGAAATTTAGCTAGTTCCAAGTAGTGATAGTACCATCTTCCATGCCCTGCTCACACTGTGTCCACAGGGAGAGCTCACATGGGAATCTTTTAGGGAGGATATAGACTTGTTGAAATGTGGTTAACTCATAGGACAGTAACTATCTGTTAAGGGATCACTGAGAGAACTGAGGATCATCCCTTGAAGGAGAGAAGACTTAGGGACTGAGTGAAAATGGGAGAGGCTGTTGTATAATAGTTGCAATTCCCAAAGGTGCAACTTGGGTGCAACTTGGTAGAAGTAGAATACAGTTATGGGAAGCTCAACATGCATGTTAGGCTGTTTTTACAAGAAGCACACAGATTGCCTTTTTTTTTTTTTCTTTCAACAAAAACTTTAATTTTATTAATCTTTGTAACTTTTTAGACTCTTAACATAAGTCAAATTTTAACTCATAGTTTAGACTTTTAGTATTTGTTCCTTCTTTGTTTTTCTTCTTTTGTTTGGAGAGGTTTTTGCTATAGGGCATGTGTGCTAACCAGAAAGACAGAGAGAGACAGAGACAGAAAGCGAGAAATTACCCCCGAGGGGGGGTGGCCATGCCACAGTCCCTTCTCCTCGAGTCTCCTCTCAGGATCTGGGGCACGCATGCACATGCTCCTGGTGTGAGTTTAAGCCACCAGGTCTGAGACTCAAACTGCAGTGGATTACGTAAGAGTCCAGCAATGTAGCCATTACGCCATCTGCTGGTCCTTGTTTTTCTTTTATTCTGAGATACTCCAGTCATTTACTTTAAGACAAAAATTTTACCTCACAAAAGTTTTTCTGTATATCAAAACATTTTTTTTTTTTAGGCTTTTACCTTAGGTCACTTTTGCTTGTCAGAGACAGACAGAGTGAGAGGGAAAGTGAGAAATCACTCCCCTAGGGGAGATGGCCATGCCATAGTCCCTTCTTCTTTATTCTCCTCGCGGAATCTTGGGCATGCACACACACTTACCCAGTGTGAGTTTGAAGCCATTGGGTGTAGGACTTGAACTACAGTCAGGCATGTGGGAGTCCAGCAATGTAACCATATGCTACACCATATGTTGGTCCCTCAAAATCATTTTTTAAAAATTAATTTACATTTAGAAACAACATTAACCTCTGATTTAGACAAAAGTGTTTTTTTTTTCTTTTTTCTCTGTAAATACTTATTGCAATTTATGATTTATATGTAAATATTAACACATCAGTGTAATGTTTGTGCATTATACATGTTTATACATTATGCAGTATATAGTGTATAATAATCAAATTGATTATATAAACATATGACCATCCTCAACATTTGACATATGTTATGAACATTCGAAACCTGCTCCAGTGGTTGTTCTGCAAGTATGTACTGAATCGCCTATGATATTCTGTACTGTGAGATACAGTTCTAAAGAAAAGCATATTGATTACAAATCAGGCAACAAACGATCTCATAAATTAACAAACAATATTTTAACATAGCCAATGGGAGAAGAATTTGTAATTTCCATGTAAAAGACTGTGGGAGGTAAGAGTTTATAATCTGAAAAAATATGTGACTGTCAATCATTCGTCCAGTTAGAAACAGGTAAAACTGCACATAACAGCAGCTCGTTAGGAGGAGCTAGAAAAAGGAAACACTTATTCATACATCCATGAGTTCGTGTAAAGCCATAATATTGTAGTGTCGATAACAATATATCCTTGAAAGGGCAAAAACAAAATGACATTGGAAAGAGATTTTTTTTTAAGAGATATTTTTGCTATAGGGTGCATGCACTTGCTGGAGAGAGAGAGAGAGAGAGAGAGAGAGAGAGAGAGAGAAAGAAAGAGAGAGAATATGCCCGGAGGAGATGGCCATGCTGCATTTCCTTCTCCTCCATTCTCCTTCGGGATTTTGGGCATGCATGCACACAAACCTGGTGTGAGCTCCAAGCCGCTGGGTCTGGGCCTCTAACTGCAACTGACGACATGGAGTCCAGTGATATAACTATTACACCATCTGCTGGTCCTGGAAAGAGATGTTTAAAAGTGAAAACATGGAGAAGCC